ACCGTAAATCGCTCGCCCGAGTGGCGGGATTTAAAGGGCAATCTGCTAGGTGAAAACCAAGTGCAACTTGGTTTCCACCGCGGTGAAATGCCTCCAAGTGGATTTGAGCCGGGTACGCCCGGTCAGGGCGCTCGCTCATCACGTAGCGTGATCGATTTTGTTCGAAGCCTCGTTGGAAATGGGACCGTTCGGTCCATAGATTGCTTTTCCCACCTCCCGCCCTAGGGTCTGGATAGGTTGCTCACCGATGAAGTCACCTCGTATGTTATCGTCGACGCAAACCGAGTTGGCTTGGTCGAAGATGGCAGCCCAGCCTTGATCGGGCCGGCTAACAAGCCTGACCCTCACCCAATCTACGGCGTACGGGCCACAGGTTATTCGGGAAAGGAGGTCAGCGATTCACTTTGTTCCGTGCTTCCCTCTGTTTATTGACGGCTCAAAGCGAGACGCTGGAGGACGTTTCGTGTGTTCGTTTTGTGACTTCGAGGGCAGGGAGGGAATTGCCAAGGCCCTAGGAGGAAATTGAGGACACCAAAGCGCGCGCCATGGCTTGGTGATTTTACAGGGTTTTGAGTGAAAATGGAGGGCGACTGTCAGTTTTTCAGGGCAGACAATGATGACTCGTCATTGACGAGTCCATAACTTTGACAATAAGTTATGAGTTATTAGCTTATACATAAGATGTACAAAGCCGAACATCCAATCGAAATGTAATACACTGAACTTCGGTGACCGATTCGGCCAGACCGAAGACCGCTGATTGCAAACAGAACATTTGAATTATTGCATCTCGAATGGAAGTGGCACTGAAGTTCAGTGACTAGAACAAAGTTTGTTCAACAAACCACCCCAGTTCACAGGATACTATCCTGTGATAGTGTGCTATTAGCACACTATGTATCGGTTTGATATCGCCAAATGCTACATGTTTGCGAATGGATGGCTTAAATTCTGTATCAGACTCATCAACGCAAAACAGTTAGGTAAGAAACTAAGATAATAAGCTAATTGAACTTATCGGATACCGAGTTCATCCTGCCCGATGCCCTCAAGTAACTCTCACTGAAGCCAATTACTTCACATGCGTGCTCGTTTACGATCTTGAAGGTCTGAAAGTAATAGTTTTAGCATAGAACAATCCAACCAGGAGTTTATTCAAAAAGAGTACACATCACCTGGGATCCTCTCTGAGATTTCTCTACCGTGATCCATCCATACCTTCTCGGCTCTGATATCCGTGTTATACCTCCGCAGCGGGTTGGAATTCTCGACCGGCCGGCCCGCCCAGGTGACTGAGGGAAACTTCGCGAACATAACATCGGCCACCCGGCGGCATTGATCAGCTTCTGCTCGAGCAAGGCGTAGCTCTCCAGGATCATAGTCAGACGAATTAGATATCACGATAGTGACATGATTGTGTACATTTTAAGGATCAGCGTATGCATAGAGGATTATGTTGTGTGGTGCACCGTATGGCAAAGATTGTTGTAAGTGTACCAGCATGCTTGAGAATATTTGATAAGATCTATTAGAAGTTGCCGACGAATGCTCGACAACTTGGTATGGAACTGTCGAAGCGTTTTGATTTCTCCAAGCAAGAAATTGACGATATGATGAAGTTTACAGATCATAGTTGTCGGCGTTCGAGTGCAACATATGCTGAGGACATTAACTTGATATCGGAAACTTGATGAACTGGTTTGGGCGGTTTATTGGGAGGGCTTCTAGATTATCTATATTTGAGTGGTTTCACAACACCTTAGTTTATTGACCTTCGTGGTTGACCAGGTGTTATAACTAGGATGTTGTATATAGGAGATAAAGTTTAGAAGCGCCACGGGTTTGATAAACCAGTGGCAACCACCCAAACCTCCATATTACTGAACACAATATAGGTGGTTACAGTGAATCCATAAATAAGGAGTTGAACTGTTGAAACTGAGTGATGATAGAGGGTACGAATTGAGGGGGAGGGAGGAAGGGAAAGCGAGTGTCTGGTGAGTGGGATTGGATTCCCATCATTGGAATAGGACTGTTACAAGTAGTGAGCGCCCGGATAATCGATTGTATCTGGATGTGAATTGAGGAGTTGTAAGTTACAACTTGTAACGTTTCTGGAACTTCTCCGGGCGCATCCGCAGCTTGAGACTCAACACCATCACCAGAGGCAACTTCGGTCGAAATATCGAATGAGAGATGAAATAATTCGGGCGTAATAAGATTACGAACAGCACGTCTCCATTACTTCAGCGCACACCCTAGTAATCGACCGAGACAATCAAGAATATTCTTCCACAGGAGCCTCCTATATGACAACATGAAGGGATACCATTATGGACGATTCTCTTTCTGTTGATGTACAGCATTAAATCAGGAGCGAAGTCAAAGACATATTCCCCCAGTAAAAATTGGTAATTTGAGGCGCAATTTTGACACATGTATGCTAGGAATATGTAGAGAAAACTTTTTACCAATCTTCGACTTATCACTAACTACGAAGGGTTAAGCCTTGAAACTTAGAAGTCATATCAAGTGAAACCTAAGTACATACCTCCCTGAACCGCAAGATGGTACTCGTTGTGGTGGCTGTGCAGGAGTCGAACAACCGGATATGGCATATCCGATATGCTAAGAATATGTGGAGGGGTGTACATCAAGCTCGCGGCGATGGAAATCAGTAAGGTACTATCAGCAGGAATGCCAAGTAGTGGGTTTCTGATCCATAGTCCACCAGAGTGGACCCGTCGCGATATAACCCCTTTATCGCGAATTCATAAATATCATGTCTTATTCTTGGTCATGTCGGAACTCCTGTCTTTGATCAACCTTCCTATCCCACGAATTCCTGCTCTGACGCACACCTCGCCTGCTCGCATCGACATGTGCGTTAATTCTTATCTTCAACCATTCAGTATAATACTCAACGTATGCGTATCTCGCATGTCTGAACGAAGAGGTATTGGTTCTCAACCGAGATATGTAACTGTAACACAGGCCGTAGTTCAGAAGAGTACCAACACAAAACCCCGAGCCAAGTGTTAACGTTGTGTAGTAGTAGTAGACGACTGAAACGTAAGAGCCCTTAGATGAGGATCTGCTCTATGGAATCCTTCAAGTCCTGGATCTGAGTCATGAGCTGTGAGCCCTCCTTGCTGGTGATACTGCAAGCAACCACAGGACGGGACACACCACAGGCACGTCCCAGAGCAGTCTTGGACTTCACAAACACGTAACTAACATCAACACACATGATATTTCACATATACTTCGATGCCGAGGGCTTACGGAACGTTCTTGTCCTCGCAGACGAGAGGAAGATGGAGAATGATCTCCAAAGGCTCAGTATCAGCAGCCAGGACGATGACCTCGGCAGTACCACGGTTTAGGGTCTTGGTGGCTTCGTTGGCACCCTTACGAAGCTGCTTATAGTTGCAGGACTGAGTAACGAGAGCGAGTGAAACATAGTGAATCTAACGCATTTTATTACTTGCTGTACAAGATCCATGATAGTAGCAGTAAGATCTGCAGAGGCAAGAGGATAAGCCTTGGGATTAACTTCAGCGTCGGACATTTGTAAAAGAAGTGGTAAACAGGAAGAAGGCCCTTCACTTGCCGATCACGAGGGCAATTATAGGACTAAACACCACTTGGTGAATACCATTATTCCCTCCTCCCGATCGCCCTCGATCATCTAGTAGCAAATCTCATAAACTAAAGGCTAGCATGTTCCCGTAACCAATAGATGGAGAAGCTCACTGTCATCACAGGCGATGGACGAAGACCGACGATAAAGGACAATCATCCCTCGATATGATCCAACAGCATAGCAACAATGGTAAACCTCCTTTCAAAGCAGGAACAAAGTTAGCGATGCATAAAGAATTATAACAGGATGTTGCTGCTCTCAACGACGGTGATCCTGCCTGGAGTAGGGAACTTAGGCGCTCACGACCTCGGTCTGGAGACCCTCGAAGCTTTGGACGGGAAGATACTGCACAAGAGTGTACATCTCCTCACCCTCCTCGGCCTGACGACGGGACAGACGTACGCGGACTCTGCGAGGAATGTTGCGGATACCCTTAGACCAGATGAACCTGAGAGAATATATTTGACTAACAAGGTAGTAATGGTGGACGTACTTGTTGAGCTTGGTATCGATACGGACATCCTCTGTCTTCATCTGCTTCTGGGCGAAGGCTTTAATGGCACGAACGACCTTAGGAGCACGCTTCTTAAAGGTCTGCTTGTGCACGATCTTATGGACGTGGATCGTGTGATCAACAGTCAAAGGCTGCATGATCTTCTTG